CGGAATCCAGCGCTGGACCACCTCAACATGCCCGCCTTTTCATACCTGATAAACTATCCGGTATTTCATTTTTAATTGACACAGGGGCAGCAGTATCAGTTCTCCCTCGTCCTGAAGTAAAGACGCCGCCTACAGCTTATTCACTATATGCTACTAACGGCTCCCGCATCGCTACTTATGGAGAGAAGGCAATAAATCTTGATATAGCGGTGCGGAGACGATTTTCTTGGAATTTTATAGTGGCAGATGTACCCAGGGCCATCATTGGAGCAGATTTGTTATCGTACTATAATCTTCTGGTTGATTTGAAGGGCCGGCGACTGATTGACAGCAGTACAGGTGTGACTTCATGGGGACAACTATTTCTTGGCAGCATGCCAAAAATATTTGCTATACCAAATGACATGCCATATGCCTCTATTTTCGCTGAATTTCCGCGAGTCAGCCACCCATCTTCTGCTCAGATAGCACCGGTCAGTCATTCGATCGTTCATCACATCGAAACCACTGGGCAAACTGTAGTGACGAAGGCACGAAGGCTCTCTGCAGAACGCTACAATGCAGTTAAAGAGGAGTTCCACAGACTTATGGCCAGTGGTATCATACGGCCGTCTAAAAGCCCGTGGGCATCACCAATGCACGTGGTTCCAAAAAAGGATGGCACAATTCGTCCCTGTGGAGATTATAGGGCTCTAAATGCTTGCACAATTCCAGATCGCTACAATGTCCCGAACCTGTCCGACTTCAACGTCAACTTGCATGGAAAGACTATATTCTCCCGTCTCGATTTATGTCGCGCCTATTATCAGGTTCCTATTTTGGAGTCCGACATTCAAAAGACGGCTATCACCACTCCATTTGGCCTGTACGAATTCGTGCGCATGTGTCCTGGCTTGCGAAATGCTAGCCAAACATTCCAGCGTTTAATGGATCACGCATTTAGAGAATTTTCGTTTTGTTTTGCATATCTGCATGATCTCCTAATTTTTTCAGAAAATGAAAAAGATCATGAAGAGCACCTCCGCCAAGTTTTGCGGCGATTGGATGAATATGGCCTCACCATCAACCCAGGAAAATGTTTGTTGGGCCAAGCTGAAATCGATTTCCTCGGGTACAAGGTGTCTGTTGAAGGAATCAAGCCGATGGAAAGCCGCGTTGAAGCAATAATTTCCTATCCGAAACCAGTCACTATCAAAGAATTACGTCGGTTCCTCGGAATGATAAATTTTTATCGTCCTTGCATCAAGGAAGCAGCCGCTCTCCAGCAACCTCTCAATGGATACCTTCATCAGGTGCGCAAGAACGATAAACGGAAAATTGAGTGGAACCCCATCACTGAAGATGCATTTCAAAAGTGCAAGGATGCGCTACGCGATGCAACATACCTTGGACACCCTGCAACTGATGCCAGCATTTCTATTGCCTCCGATGCCTCTGACACCTGTATCGGCGCGGTGTTGCAACAATGGAAAGATGAAAAATGGATACCATTAGGATTCTTTTCCAAGTCCTTGTCTTCACATCAGCGAGCGTATGCAACATATGATCGCGAACTACTGGCGCGAATTACTACAATCCTTAAAGCAGTTAAACATTTTAGGTCATTGATTGAAGGAAGGCACTTCACCATTTTTACTGACCACAAAGCACTGGCTTATGCTTTTCGGCAGAGATCAAGTTCAGCGTCTCCTATGCGTATCCGATGGTTGAACTTCATATCACAATTCTCCACAGATATTCAGCACATTGAAGGTAGCTCGAATCCTGCGGCAGATCGTGAAAGTGCATCTGGAAGAACTGTCTCTGGACGAAGATTGGGACCAATTAGCTGCTGCCCTGGAGGGTGACCAGGAATTAACTAAGTTATTAACTCACGAAAACCTGTCGTTAAAGAAATTCTCCCTTCCTGGAGCCAAACATCCAGTATGGTGCGAGACTTCAAAGGATCAAGCCAGACCATACATCCCGGAAACTTTTCGACGCCGCTGCTTTAACATCTGCCATGACAGAAGTCATCCTGGAATTCGCGCCAGTCGAAGTCTAGTAGGCGGTAAATATTTTTGGCCGTCGATGAATGTTGATGTTGGAAACTGGGCTAAAGCGTGTGTGGCCTGCCAGCGTTCCAAAGTCACTCGACACACCGTCGCCCCTCCTAAGGTATTTACGGGTTGTGGACGGTTCAAACATATACACTTGGATCTTATTGGCCCCTTGTCTCCATCATAAAGTATGAGATTCTGTCTCACAATTGTCGACCGGTTTACACATTGGCCCGAAGCGGTTGCTTTTCCCGACATGACTGCAGAAACGGTCACTAGAGCATTCTTCGACACATGGATCGCACTTTTTGGTGCCCCACGAAGACTCACAACTGATCAGGGACGGCAATTTGAGTCAGGATTATTCTACGCTCTCAGAAAATTATTAGGCACTGATCGAGCTCGCACAACTGCTTATCATCCGCAGACCAATGGCTGTGTAGAGCGGTGGCATCGCTCACTCAAGAGCGCACTAACGGCTCAGATGGACGCAGAGCATTGGGTGGACAAACTTCCCTCTGTTCTTTTGGGCTTAAGGTCAGCGATTAGGCAGGATACCAACGCCAGCGTGGCTGAAGCAGTATACGGCCAACCTCTTCGCCTACCCGGAGAGTTCCTTGTCTCACCTTCTGGGCCGCAAGATCCTCGAGATAACTTACTTTGGTTGAGAAGCGCGATGGATACTATTTGTCCAGCACCCTTTGGGACATCCACTAGGAAACCGTTTGTCCATCCAGCGCTTGGCTCCTGCACACATGTGTTTCTTAGAGATGACAGAGTGAGAAAGCCTCTCCAACCGCCTTACTCCGGACCTTATCAGATAGTAAGCAGAGACACCAAAGTGTATAAGATTCAGCTTCCAGATCATTCCACGATAAACGTGTCAATTGATCGTCTTAAGCCTGCGTTCCAGCCTCATGACTGTGACGACTCTCCTCAGCAGCCGCCTGACGTAGCTCCACGCGTTTTACCTACACCACAAATTCAGCAGCCAGTCGCAACAACTGCGGATCAAGTTTACCATACCCATGCTGTCCGTCCGCATGTCAAGTTTCTGGACGTTGTCATTGGGGGGGAGTAATGTTAGGGTTCTGTCTAATGACAAACGTCCAAGAAAACTTAGCTTATAGCATGCGCAAGCTGGTGCAACCTCTTTGGATCGAGAGATCGATTCTAGCCGCCTGTTGTTTTTAGTGCTAGCATGACATTGTTTTTTAGTTAGTGTTGTTTAGTAGTTAGCTAGTGTTGTTTTTTAATTAGTGTTGTGCTAGTCTACATTGTTTTTTTGGTTCACTAGTTAATGAACATTAAGTATCATTATTAGTGGCCTGCATGCAGTGTAGTGAGCGCTCACAGTTTACAATAGTTTAATTTACCACCTTATATTCAGTTAGTGATTGTAAAGCATTTTAGTTAGTTTTAGTTGATTTCTTGCTTTCTTTTTGTTTCTATTTTATTGCATGTGCACTCAGAGGTATGTTTTTATTTTATAATTTTGTTTTTTACCAGATGTTTTATTTATCAAAGATTTGTTTTGTTTTGTAAGCAGTTTTTTATTGAACGAACCTAAAGAATCCTTAAAACTCCAAACCCTTATCAAGTGCTTCAAATTAACAGAGATGTAATGGAGTCAGCAGCAAAACCCAGACAACCAAGGATTCCTCCGATATTTGTGAAAAATATAAAGGATTTTCAGATGTGCACCCAACTAAACAAAATCTGTTTCGGCAGTTATTCAAGTATCAACAGGTCCAATAACACTAAAATAATAGCAGATACTACAGAATCGTAACGAAAAATGGTGAAATATTTATTAGAAACAATGCCTTACCAGCTGAAGCAGAAGAGAGCATTATGAATGGTGATAAGACATTTGCGCTCCTTAACCCCACCTGAAGTGATAAAGGAGGAACTAATGGCGCTTGGTTTCAATGTACTTCAGTAACCAATGCTTTGAAGGAGAATAAGGAGTAATTAGGGTTGAGAAATAAACTACCTTTGTTTTTCGTTGACCTGGCTATGGGAAATTCGGTTGTGGTTTTTCAAAGTGAATTGTCAAGAGAATAGATGGAGGATAGGTAGGCGTTAAAGGATTGTGATCTGAATGTGTCTAATTCCAGTTTTATTTTTTTACAGTAATAATCAATGTACAAAAATGAAAAAATCTAAAAAGGCAATTGGAAAATATTTAATCTTTTTAAAGAATCAAGCATTTCCAAAAGATGTTCTGGATGTACCATAAAGCCATTTCTCTTTATAGTTAAATTTAATAGTTTGTGCAGTTCTAAATTGTGAAAGCTAAAATATTCTGGAACAAAATGTCTAAATCAGCTAAAAACTCTAAAATGTACTTATTTTGTAAATTATTTTAATATTAAGAAAATATTAATGTAAACCAGTAAAAACTCACCAAGAGACAGATAGTCGATGTTAGTTTATAGTTGGAAAACTCTAACACAACTTTGGGTCTCTGAAATTCAGGCGAAAAATAACTAAGATAAAGGTTCTTCAGCTGTGTTACCTCACCTGTCTTTCATTATGCGGTTGGGTGCCATGGAATGATATGATCTCGTGTTTGTTTTCTTTTCTGCCTAATCAAGGCTAAAATGGCAAAACGTGGATGGGTTATTTTATTTTTTACCTGCATTTTAGAGACACAAAGATGTGTGGTTGGTATTTGTAATTATAAACTAACTACCTAATTAAAAATAGAATATTCAGGAAGCGAAAAATATATGAAATTGAACTTTTCTTATTTAGAAATATTTATAACATTTACAGGGGGAAAACACCAGATTATAGAAGGTGAAATTCGAATAACAACAATCCTATATTTTATACTACATTTTTAAAATTTTATTTATTGACATTTACAACTGTATAAAGATAAAAATATAACTAGTAAATAAACCATATTTTTCTAGTGATAATTGAAGTAAACAAGATATTATTCTTTAACATTCATTTAAATTTGTTGTAAATGAATCGAGTTATTAAATCAAAAGCACATTTCGGTTGATCCATCGGGACGATGTGTCCTGCATCTCTAACCAGAACTTCTGTTAACGTTTTGGCCTTCTTGTAGAACCCAGCCAGTTCGCCATCTGCCTTCCAATCCTTCCTTGGTGCAGTTCTGTAGTCCTCAGAGCCGGTCCAATTGAGTTTGGGTAAGAAGTTCGCTGTCAGTGGATATGCCACGGATATATCCAATTGGCCGTTATAAAACATTACTCTGTAATGATCTAATAATACTTCGACCCACGGTTTAACTGATCGCATGATGTCATTACGAAGAAACTTTTTAACTTTAGATTCGTTATGGTATATGCGGCTTCCGACATGTATGCTTTTCCTCACTACGTCTGTCTGCAGATATACAATAAATTCCCTTGGAATAAAGAAACCGATTTGAACATAGTTATATGCGTTTATATCAGGACTAAGTGAACCAAAAATATCTAAATATGTTCCTAAAGCCGCACTATACCGTTGTAGTTTGATATGTTCTACTGTTTTAGCTTCTTTTTGTTTAAACATGTCTCTGGTGTTAGAATCAACTAATCCAAGCTGAAAGAGAAAATCTGAATAGACCATCATGTTCTCCGGATCAGTAAATCCGTTACCAATTGCTAAACCTTTCAGGTTAATATTATGTTTGTTTATTTTGTTGTTGTTGTGGATCGTATAACCAATTGCGGGGACAAACTTTCCAGCGTAGGACTCACCACTTATGTAGAATTCATTCTTTTGTAAATACGGAAACAACTGAAAGAACTGTAATAAAGAAGAATATCGCATATCCAGCATCCTTCTCAGTGAAGCTGAATCCTGTCCCGACTGGGTTATCGATATACATTACGTTGAACAATCGAGACCAGGAGTATTGGCGTTCTTTCAAGGTTAGGTTTTTATCTACGAAGAATGGACCATTTTCACAGAAGAGTCCGAAGAGAGAAGAGCCTCCAGGTCCTCCTTGGAGCCAAAGGACTACTGGCGCGTTCTTCAGGTCCGCCTCAGAAGGAAAGTACCAGAAGAAAAGATTGGAGTTGAAGTTCTTGTTGACGGTGAGATAGCCACTGTAGCTGGTGACGTTGGTACCAGGCAGTTTTACCTTCCCTGCCTCCTGTCCTGCTTGGATCCTACCTCCTTCGATGTAAGGCGTCAGGAAAAGCGGTTTTCCTGCGTTTCCATTGAATGGGACGGATGGAATCTTCGGGTATGGATTAAGAAGAACATAAGAAACATAACCACCAAAGCTACAGAAAAAAAATAATAATATTAAACGATCCATTTCGATGGGGATACTGTAATGACCACGTAGACATCCATCCCTTATATACTTCAGTATAAGAGCTCCTTGCCTGTACATTATGTTATTGTATTATATTAAGAGGTTTGTATTAATTAAATTGGATTTCGTAATATGTGATTCATGTAAAATGTTTGGTGTTCGATTATTCATCATCATTAAAGAATGATAAGATGACTGATTGTAATGAGAATATCACAATAGAGGCTGAGTAAAAATCCTATATTGTTTACAACTTTTTATATATGAATGTAAAATATTTTCAGTAGAAAAACAAACACAAACCAAAGAAACAAGCGTAAGCCTTAAAAAAAATTGAGTACAGTTTTAAATAAAAAAATTAGAGCAACATAGCCTAGATAATTGTAACTGAATTTTTAACCTTCTTGTTTGTTTCGATGTCTAGGCGCAAAACATCTAGGTCATAAGCGCCCGATCAACTAAATAACACCACTTAATACTGTTTGGATGGTTGGTACAAAAAAAAAAGGATAAAAAAAAAATAAAGAAATGGATTGATAGAATAAAATAAATAAATAAGGATAATAATAGACATTTATGGATAATAAGATAGGAAAGATAAATAAGTAAACTTAAAAAAAATAGCAGTAAAATCAATAAATGAATTGAAATTAATAAACAGATGAACTTGAAATTAAATCAAATCAACAAATGGAACAAATGAAAAAAAAATATAAATAAAAATAATAATATTAAATCTGCAAAGGATCATTAATTATAAGCTTGTCATATATATTTTTTAAGTCTTTCACTACCCAGGTTCTTGATAACTTTGGTAACGATTTCTTCTTGATTTCCCAGGGATGCTGACATATTCTGGAGTATTCCGAGATCATTTAATCTGGCGGTGTAAAAAGGGCACTCTTCCAAAATATGTTTTATAGTTAATGAATGGTCACACTTTTGACATATGGGGATAAGATGTTTTGTTATGAGATGGAGGTGTGTCAGTCTAGTATGTCCGCTGCTCAGGACTCGCGTGAGGACGACCTCTTCCCTGGTGATTTTTCAATTAGATAAGTGGTGTAAGTGATCACCATAGCATACGGCAACTTTATTATACAATGGTATAATTCTATTCATGGTATTGAACCAAATTCAATGCTCTCTTGATCTTACCCATCATAATAAGCATTATAATTTACTTTCCACTATGTATGAAACTTAACCAAGCATAAGAAAATTTCGTACCAAATCTTCAGGTCCAGATCAGGCTTATATAAAAAAATCTGGTACGCACAACACATAACTTTCAGTTACCGCTCAACTTTGAATAGAAATTATTTTCGAACCATGTTGGGCTATTATATATACATATAAAATTTTTGAATTGCATTTTTAATCGAGCTAAAGCTAAAAGCTAAACGTGGATTGTTGAATTCAACGATCTAATGGAAATTTTATGAACCCAATTAAAGGAAATGAAAATGCGTACTTCGGATGTAGTGACTCAAGTTTACAGCATTGACAAAACACATGATATTTCAAAAGATGAAAATGAAATATGTAAAACAAAACAAAGGTTAAGATTTTACTCATCATTTTTTTAAGACAAACAATCTGGTGAGCACAACACACAACATTCACTTACCGCTCAACTTTGAATAGAAATTATTTTCTGGCCATTTTGGGCTATTATAAAATTTTTGAATTGCATTTTAATCGATCTAAAGCTAAAAGCTTACAGCTAAAAAATCATAAATACCATTAAAATAACAAAAGTCCTATTTATTATATCACCAGTTGATTATGGGTTGTACGATCCGTTGATTATGGATTGTACGACTATTAGTTATTAAACAGTTATTTTCCATTGTAAAGTTTGCTAAAACGGAATTAATAGATTTGAGACTGTCTGTCATAGACAGGCCAAAAGTTGTCACAGTAATTGGAAGTGATTACTTTTGGAATATCACAAAGGGAAAATTCATCAAATTATTTACTAATTTAATTTTCTAAAAAGTTGCACGATGATTTTCCGGAATAAACTGACGATAGACATCTAATTATTTAAATATAACATCAGATCTAGAGTTATTCAAGAACTCTAACAAAATACAGTAAATATACTTAAGGTTATAAATATATCCATGAAATGTTTTTATATTTCACTTCTTTCAGACAAGTACAATGAAATAGTATCTTAAACAGTGTCATTGCCTTGATTCCGTGGATTTTAAATACTTTTTCAAACTAAAAAAAAAATGTTAAAAGTTTACATTTAGTAAGAAAATTTCATTTAATTTCCTTGAAAACACGTGATTTACGTTAAATAATGTTAATTTTTAGAAATTATTATTTATATTTTTTTCGCCACACTCCGTCACCTTCTACAATTTTCTATATTATATATTGTTTTTTTTCAATTCCTTGCTTTCCAACGAAATATTATACATATATGACTATTATTTCCGGCCAAGATATATATATATATTTCTTTCTCCTATATTCAATAAACAAAAATTCTTTCAAAAGTTATATTTAGCTTTTATTCATTACTCCTAACAATGAGACATAGTTATTATTTATAATAAACCAAATTAAAGGTACTTAAGAGGAAGACACGATAATTTTGGGATTTCACAAATGGAAAATTCATCAAATTATTCACTAATTTAATTTTCTAAAAGGTTACATGATGATTTTTCGGAATAAACGGGCGATAGATGCCTAATTATTTACCCCAAACCCGATGCTCGGTTTTGTGCAAATAGTGTTATTGTTAATGCGATCTTACCTCACTATAACCAAGTAACAGAATGTCGTAATATTCAATAAATAAATAATTATTAAATATATTGTTGGATTAAATATTATTTTACAAGAGTAACCATTGTCGGTTCCACTAAGTGCATTTTTTATATAGGTTATCATTCAAATATGTTTTGGTGAATTTCGACCTTATTTATCAATACAAAAGTGCTGTGTGAAAATGACACAGAATATTTTATTAATCACTTATAGTTACAATAAGTTCACAATTTTCATTGACGCGATTACAATAAAATATTGTCTGCTTCGTTTGATTGTGACTAATTTTTTTCAAATATAATAAATAATTTTAAAAATTGACTGTTAGTTTGGTAATTTCGTTTCATTCCCATGGAAAATTCGAATATATATTTTGTTTGTTACTTTCCATTATCTTGTACGACTTTGTATGTCAGATATTGTTTTTTTCTATAATTACCAGCTCCCCAAAAATATATTATACTTATACATTCTCACTATTATGTGCTGAAATTCATTTTAAACCTAAAAAAATTTTTTTGCTTTTTTCTCCTTTAGTCAATTATCAAATTCTTTCAAATTTTATATTTTACCTTTTTTATTACTATAAAAAATGTGAGACGGTTAATTATTATAAATAAACCAGATAAAGATAATTTAGAGCAAGGGACTTTGGACATTGAGCATTTATACCCTGTTAGGCGACATCAATGAGGATAAAACCTAAATGATATTAAAGACCATTTAATTGTCCATTGATATACCGAGTTTAATCAAAATCGTTAAAGCCTTTTTTGAGAAAATTGTAAAAATGTGTCAAATAAGTTAAATAAAGTGGCAGTACCAGTTTGCCGATTTTCTGGAAAAATTGGCTGTAACATTGCAGGCATATACCTATCTTAAATACGTAATTTAAATTTCGTTCGACTTTTCGTTTTAGAGATAGACTGTCCACATACACACAAACCATTTTCTGGGCTTCGTTATACTCTAGGGAACTAAAAATGTATATTTCCGTTGAATATTCAGATTCGAAATTTTTCATGCAATACTTTTCATTTCTAAGTATTTCATACATAAGTAAATGAAAGTAAAGAAGTCTGCCAAGTAATTCAGTATAGCTTCCTTAACATTTTATTTGGTTTATTGGAAAATATTTAGGCATACACTTCACAAAGGCCATAATTTTATTTAAAACTGAATTGAATAATTGAATAAAAACACAATTATAGGCAGGTGTATAGCCTTGTCTACTCTAGAAATGCTGAGTAAGATTTCAGTGGATAAATATCAGGTGTACGGTGCACGTGGATTGTTGAATTCAGCGATCTAATGGAAATGACGTTTTATGAACTCAATTAAAGGAAATTTAAATGCGTACTTCGGATGGAGTGACTCAAGTTTACAGCATTGACAAAACACATGATATTTCAAAAGATGAAACATGTGTAAAACAAAACAAAGGTTAAGATTTTACTCTTCTTTTTTTGTGTGTGTGTTTTGAAGAAGAAAAATGATAGTAACTTTTCTTTAAACTCGGTGTTTATAGTGTGCAGTGTTAAAAGTCCCACAGAAGAAACAGCACCTCGTGTGGATCTTATATCAGCCAGATAAGCACACATATTTTTATTTTCACTTACATATATATGAAATATATAGTAATGGACAGTATTGCGTAACTCTCTTTTATTGACAGTAACTATAAAAAATGGCTAAATATGAAGTTTGAAAGAAAATGATAATTAGAAACTGGAGAAGAAAAGAAAAATGATTTTCCAGGTTGAAAATAAATTTCCGGAAATGCTAGTCAGAAGGTATACGTATAATATATTGTTTGAAAGCGGAGAATTTTAGAAAAAAACTATATATCTGATATAGAAAGTAATGGAGAGTGACAAAAAATAATAATAACTTCAGAAAACTAACATTGTTTAACGTAAATAACATATTTCCAAAGAAATTAAATGAAATTTTCTTACTAAATATAAACGTTTAAATTTTTTTCTTTTTCTAAGTTTAAAAAAAATAATATTTAAAATCTACCGATTCAAGCAAGTGGCATTGTTTACAACACTGTCTCATTGTACTTGTGTGAAAGAAGAAGTGAAATATAAAAATATTTCATGGATACTTTTATAACCTTAAATATATTTACTATAGTTTAAAAATCTAGATCTGATATTAATTTAAATATCT